CATCACTAGCCACAACAATATATTCCGGATACATACTGTTTGATTAAATAAGCATATGTTGGGGGGATTAATCAAGATATGTTACATCACTAGCCACAACAATATATTCCGGATACATACTGTTTGACGAAATAAGCATATGCTGGTGGATTAAACAAGATATGTTACATCACTAGCCACAACAATATATTCCGGATACATACTGTTTGACGAAATAAGCATATTTTGGTGTATTAAACAAGATATGTTACATCAAAAGCCACAACAATATATTCCGGATACATACTGTTTGACGAAATAAGCATATGTTGCTGGATTAAACAAGATATGTTACATCACTAGCCACAACAATATATTCCGGATACATACTGTTTGACGAAATAAGCATATGCTGGTGGATTAAACAAGATATGTTACATCACTAGCCACAACAATATATTCCGGATACATACTGTTTGACGAAATAAGCATATTTTGGTGTATTAAACAAGATATGTTACATCAAAAGCCACAACAATATATTCCGGATACATACTGTTTGACGAAATAAGCATATGTTGCTGGATTAAACAAGATATGTTACATCACTAGCCACAACAATATATTCCGGATACATACTGTTTGATTAAATAAGCATATGTTGGGGGGATTAATCAAGATATGTTACATCACTAGCCACAACAATATATTCCGGATACATACTGTTTGACGAAATAAGCATATGTTGGTGGATTAATCAAGATATGTTACATCACTAGCCACAACAATATATTCCGGATAGCATATTTTGGTGTATTAAACAAGATATGTTACATCAAAAGCCACAACAATATATTCCGGATACATACTGTTTGACGAAATAAGCATATGTTGCTGGATTAAACAAGATATGTTACATCACTAGCCACAACAATATATTCCGGATACATACTGTTTGACGAAATAAGCATATGTTGGTGGATTAAACAAGATATGTAACATCAATAGCTACAACAATATATTCCGGATACATACTGTTTGATTAAATAAGCATATGTTGGGGGGATTGGGGGATTAATCAAGATATGTTACATCACTAGCCACAACAATATATTCCGGATACATACTGTTTGACGAAATAAGCATATGTTGGTGGATTAAACAAGATATGTTACATCACTAGCCACAACAATATATTCCGGATACATACTGTTTGATCCAAAAGGAAAGATACACGGAGTAATTTAGAACTGCTGTAAAGCGGAAGAAGCACTGTACCATGGTAATATTACGGACGTGTACAATACAATTAAGAAGATATCTGGAAAGTAGAGTAAGCCAGAGAGGCCAGTGAAGACCAAAGATGGAAAGATAATAACTGATGCGGAAGGACAGAAGAAGATAGTGTCACTAAGAGTAGAATAAGTCCCACTTCCGTTTATCAGAAATCACTGAAAAGTTATAGAACGATAAATTTCATATAGTACTTATATCTGAAATTTCATCAACCTAGCTGTAATGGTACTCAAGTTATCGTGTTTACAGAAACACACACACACATACACACACACGGACAGAATTACCAAGTCCAGTTTTTTTCCGACTCAATTAGGCGTTTGTACGTCGAACTTTTGATAAATCTGGATTTATAATTTTTGCCCGATTAAAATAAGTCCCCTATACTCCTTATATGATGAATTACTGAGGTGTAAAACAGTGAAAACTGTCAAAATTTCATGTGATTTGTGTGCACGATTACAATACTTCCTCTATACTCTGTATACGAGAAAGTAAAAATATAATATCTATATTATGTTTTTTTAAATGTAAATGCATTTTTATGCCAATGACGAACCCTACCTCCCCCCTCCCCCCACCCCCCTAATCCCACCCCCTCCCCAGCTCCCCCCCCCCCGTCACTCCATCTCCCACCCTCACTCCACCTCCCACCCTCACCCCACCTCCGACCCCCAGCATCCCACCTCCCACCCTCATTCCACCTCCGACCCTCACCCCAACTCCCCCCCCCCTCCTCAACCCCCCAACACCCCCCCTCCCACCCTCACCCCAGCTCCCCCTAACACCTCCCCAGCTCTCCCCCTCACTCCACCTCCCCCCTCCTCAACCCCCCCAACACCCCAACTCCGACCCTCACCCCAACTCCCCCCCACCTCAACCCCCCAACATCCCCCCCCCCTCCCACCCTCACCCCTTTAGTATTGTATCACCAGCGAACAAGCACTTACCTCGGCCCAATAATTGAATAGCGTCTACCAAACCCGGCCACAGGGAGCACCAACATGTCCGCCAACAGAAAGTTGTTGTCTGCTAGAACCTGCTGGACGTGCAGGCAGAAGTTGTGGTCGGCCAGACTCTCGGCCACATACGAGTAGGTGCGGAAACTGCTTTGCTGTATCCTGACGGGGGGGGGGGGGGGGATAAGGATGTATGATAGGCTTAGTGCGGGGGTAAGTAATGGGGTTGGTATGTTATTGATAGGCTTAGTGTGGGGGTTAGTATGTTATTGATGGGCTTAATTCGGGGGGTTAGTATGTTATTGATGGGCTTAATTCGGGTGTTGGTATGTTATTGATAGGCTTAGTGAGGGGGTATGTTATTGATAGGCAAAAACTACTGTGCAGGGGGTTATTCATGGAATCCGGATTCGAACTTAGGATTAATGAGTTAGCAGTCTAGCTCTCTACTAGGCCTTTCCGTCCCTCTGAAAACAGCCCTAAACAGCTTACTTTCGTCACCTAGCACATTACATATCACTAGTACTTAATCGTTTTGTTATTAAAACAAGTAATATTTCAATTAGTTTTATCGTGTTGGATTAAAATCATATACCTTTGCGTTGTTGCCGAACACTATCCGGAAAGTAATCACTGCATTAGAAGTGGTTCCAATTTTTACTTTCTCGTATATACGAAGTATAGAGAGAGTATTGTAATAGTGCACAAAAATAACATGAAATTTTGACAGTTTTCACCGTTTTACTCCTCAGTCCTTCATAATATCCGGAGTACAGAGGACTTATTTTAATCAGACAAAAATTATAAATACAAATATATAAACGTTTTGGCGTTTTATGCGTTATCGAGTCGTAAAAACTGGACTTTGCAATTCTGTCCGTATGTCTGTGTCTGTCTGTGTGTAAACACGATAACTTGAGTACCGTTACAGCTAGGTTGATGAAATTTCATATATAAGTATTTTATCAAAATCGTAGATCCGTATCAACTTTTCCGCGATTTGGCGATAACCGGAAGTAGTACTTTTTCTACTTTGAATTTTTTCAAAAGCCTATAACTTGAGTACTATTTAGGATAGATAAATGAAATTTCATATGTAAGTAAAAGATCTAATTCTCTACCTTCTGTCAAATTGTGAGTAATTTCCGTTGGCCGGAAGTACTAATTTACGCTATTTCCGATTTCTCAAAAAACTCATGTAAATTTATAAAGTACTAATAATATTCCGCACTTTTATAAACATTTTATTAGACTGCTAACCCGTTAGTCTCGAGTTCGAATCCGAGTTCAAGTCAGTAGACCGTCCCTGAGTCAACCCAGCTCTGATGGGTACCTAACTCCTGTTAGGGAAAGCAAAGGCTGCTGGACATAGTGCTGAGCACACTATCTCTTCATATGCCGAGGTCACAGAAACAAGTGAACTCTACTTCACTTGCCCCATAGACCGTCAGGTTTGAAAGGAAAAGTTTTCACTTGGTGTGCAATTCTTTTATTTTTACGAGATTCTATTCTATTATAAAAAGTTTAAGTAATTAAAAATGGAAAACAAATATTGTCAATGTCCTGACTATTGTAAACTAAAACTTACATGCGCATGTTTTCAAAAACTACTGTCGCGAGTTTTAGCCTGCTGAGCTGGACTCTCTTCTCTCGGTACTGGGCCGCCCTAAACCTCACGTTGAAAGGCGCGTGGGACGGGGTCAGTGCCTGGAATACTACATTGCCCCTGCGCACGTCAGGAACTTGCACGATAAAGTAGTTGCTCATGTATAGACTTAGGGCTGTTGGGGATGATATTTGATACCAATTTTATTCTGGATATGGGCTTTTGTTAAGATATCCGATACCTATAATAGTCAGGCTTTGGCCTTTTGTGAAGATATATATTACCTATTCAGGCTTTGGGCTTTTATTAAGATATACGATACCCATACTATTCAGGCTTTGGGCTTGTGTTAAGATATATGATGCCTATTATATTCAGGCTTAGGGCTGTTGGGATGATATTTGATACCAATTATATTCAGGATATGGGCTTTTGTTAAGATATCTGATACATAATAGTCAGGCTTTGGGCTTTTGTGAAGAAATGATACCTATTTTTTCAGGCTTTGGGCTTTTGTGAAGATATTATTAATATATTACCTATTCGGGCTTTGGGCTTTTGTGAAGATATATAATACCTATTATATTGAGGCTTTGGGCTTTTGTGAAGATATATAATACCTATTATATTCAGGTTTAGGGCTGTTGGGATGATATTTGATACCAATTATATTTATGCTTTGGATTTTGTTAAGATATATGATAAGCATCATTTTCAGGCTTTGGGTATTTGGAAAGATATGATATACAGCCTTTATGAAGATATGTGATAACTACTTTAAAGATATTTTGTGCTGCAGAAAGGCTCACATTGAGGCTTTGTGTTTAGAGGAGATACAGGCGAAAATTTTGCTTGCGTCGTTGTGCTGTACAGAAGATATAAAACTGGGGCATGAAAATTGCTTTAGAGAATATATTTTCCAAGGGTTCCACTATACGAAAATCTATACGAAAATACATTATATCTTATTTTAAAAAATAATAACACAAAACGGATTATATTTCTCCAAAAAAAATACCACTTTACAAAAACTTTTCAATACATCCTTAACTAGCATACAACTTGCCAAAAAAAAAAAATCACAATGTAGATACAACTTTACTTAGAACATTCTGATATTTTAAAATAGTGTCTAAAAATTCAATTATAATAAACAGTTATAACTTTAACTAAAAATTCAATTAAATAAAATGTAAACGTAGAAAAAAGGGTTTAGTTGTTGAATCGGCGATGAAAGATTTATAACTGAATGAGGATAGGTCTAGAGGCTGTAGTAGGACCAGCAACCACAGTGCGATTAAAGTAGTGAAAAATAACAATAGAATATGCAGCCAATGTATGTTTGTTAGATTTAAATTTTCAGAACAGCAGGCTTACCTTCAATTGACGATAAAAAACAAAGATTCCAGGTCAAAATAATTTGAATAGGGATATTCATCTGGCTGTAATATATATATATATATATATATATATATATATATATATATATATATATATATATATATATATATATATATATATATATATATATATATATATATATATATATATATATATATATATATATATATATATATATATATATATATATATATATATATATATATGTAGGGGTACTTAAAGGAAAATATTTGCATGCATCAGGGACCCTCCTTAACATATGGATGCATAGCAACGGCGGTCGCCTTGAAAAGAACTATCTTTTGTTGAAATCTCAAGGTTCAAAACCTACCATAGTCAGTGATCCTTTTTTTTACAACTATAATAGAGTCAGCTGGTTATTTCTTGTAATTAAAAACACTCTTAAATATTTTTTTTCAACTGTCACAATTTTGTATGCTGAAATACCAGTAAATTTAGCATTAATTTTAATAGTATTTTATAGTTGCCATGGCAACCATACTTTCGGAAAAAACAGTTATGCATGCACAAAATTATCTTAAAGTATTCTGGCTTAATTACACAAAAATCAATAAATAATGTTGAATAATTAATATTTTTTTTCCAAATCCAACCCTTTGATTATTTATGAAACCCTAAAATAAAATCTAGAAATAATATAGATTCTGAATCCTATCTTTTATTTATAAAAAAAAATGTTTATAATAAAAATACTAACACGCTTCTTTGTATGTACTAGAAAGAACTAAATAAAATTAATTTCTTTAAATTTAAAATAATGCTTCACTATTAAAATTTATATAGTTTCTTTAAAAATCGTGGATAGATCAACACAATTTTATTAAGTGTATTAGTGTATTCCGTTCTTAATTTAACCTTCCGTAACCTTGAACTTCCTGATCACGACTTTAATTTTGTAAATAATATAAAGTCGAATGTAATAAATTAATATTTTGATTTAATTTTAAGTTTAATCAACACGGAAACAGCATTAAAATACAGCGTGAAGAAAAATAGCTACAATTCGTAGATATATATAAAAATAAAAAAGTCAAGTGTAGTAATTTATGTTATTGTTTTAAAGAAACACAAACAAGTAATTGCAGACAATTTGAAATAGTTTTGAAAAAATTGCAAAAATTATTACTAAATTAGTAAAAAAACTATTACGTTTAGAACAATTTATTTTTAGTAAAATTGAAAGAAGCCAGGGGCGGAACTACAGTGCCGCCAGACCCCGCAATGCGGGGGGGCCCAGACCGATTGGGGGCCCAAAAATCCTGGCTAAATTATTTAAAAAAAAAAATTTAAAAAAAAATTAGGTGGAGGTCGAGTTATCTTTCTTCAACAGTTACAAACAAACACGATAGTCGGCAAACGTCTTTGATAAAAATGCACAGACTATAGCTCGAGAGACCGCCAGACATAAAGTCAACTTCAAAGACGCAGCCTACCGTTCTTTTTAGTGGCGTCGACTAGTAGAACAAAAAAGCATTGTTATATTGTTTACATTATTAAAATACATATCTATGATTGTGTGTTTAAACTACTGGCCTGAATTCTACAAAAAATATAATTATTTATTTCGATCTCGTACATTTATAATTGCGTTCATTTTTACTTTAACAACTGTATCAATAAACTTGTAAAAGTTTAAGTTATCTCCCTTCAGCGAAGCATCTGAAATTTAACTGTGCCGGCACGCTTTGAAATCGGGCTGGGGAAATGTTGCGGCGACTATCCTGGTCTTCTAGACGACCGGAAAAATTCGGCACTATTGATGTAGATGTTCATCGGCGCTTTCTTGTCCCCTTCCAATGAACCTTCCCAACTCTCGCCCCTGCCCCCTCTCACCCCTACCCCTCACCTCTACCCCTCACCACACCCTTAATCTTACAATAAGATGTAATGCATAGATTAACGAACCGTCTATGAATTACTGAACTGTAAACTGACCACTCCTGCACATTTTGTTAAAGACACTAGTCAGTAGTTGTTCATTTACCTGATGAACAGCGACGGAACTACAGTCCCGCCAGACCCCGCAATGCGCGGGGGGGGGGGGGGGGGGCAGGCCGTTTAGGGGCCCACGGCTGACCAAAATTAATATTTTTTTAAATTTTGAATTTAATTTTCGTGCATTTTTGTCTTAATATTTGGTTTGTAAAAGAAAAACACTAGCTGCGGTACGATTATCTTTATTTTACAGTCACTATACCACGCTCTTCCGCAACAGATAAAATCCATTACACAAACTACAGTGTAAAATATAGGCAACTCTTCAAATTTGAATGACTTCTTTGACTCGTTGCCCCCCACCTCTTTAATAGCTAAATAGAGGACACGTAACTGTTTAACCGATCCTCCAAAGTGTACTGTCGCGGATTAGGCAGGGGATGGGGACCAAAAAGGGGGTTCAAAAATTGTCGAATTTTTTTTACATATTTTAAACAGTTATTTATAGTTGTATTTTTTAACCATTGTCAAGGCCGAGTTCTATTTCCCTACAATCAAACACACGCTGTCGTCGGCAAAATTCTTTTTAAAAAACAACAAAGTCCATAGCACGAAAAGCCGCTACATATGAAGTGGGCTTTCGTCTTTGCGACATTGGTAAGGGACCCGAAATCCTTTGTACATTTTTCAATGTTAATGTGTTTGTGATAGTGGTTGAATTTGTATCTTGCATCCTACAAATAATAAAAAAATAATATAATACTATACTAGAAACTTCAGTTTTATATACGGTTACTTGTTTTTGCTTTTACGAGAAATATCATAGTAAACTTTTAAAGTCTATACTTGGAATAATCTCCCCTGAGTAAGTTTTACAATGGGCGATGCTGACGTACATAGATCAAGGCGTTTTGATGTCGCTTTCAAGTTTTTTTCCCGAGCCGACCCCTATCCCACCCCTCTTTCTCAACCTCACAAGTATCGAGGAGATAAATGTATCGTTTATGAACTACTTCCTAACCGTACGATTCAACACTTCAGCACATTTTGTCAGACACTAGACAGCACTAGATCTAGATCTAGATCTAGTCAACAGATATTAATTTACTTTCATAGTATTAGGCACATCTAATTCACAAAACAGGGCAGGTAAGATTATTTTTATATAATTATTTAGAAATTAATTACGTTTAGAATTAATTGAACATTATTAATAGTCAATTACTATTTATAAATGACGTCATTGAGGTGGGGGTGTGTGAGGGTCTGGCTTTTTGTTAGTCCCCCCCCCCCCCTCCCCTAAATCAGAAGGTTATCCAACGCGTGACCTGGCCACATACAGTTGTACATGTGAAAAACATTTTTCTGTCTATTTTGCATTACTGCATCATTCACCCAATCGCCATGAAAACTTGGGAAGCTGTTGAGTACAGCCCCGCAAAAGTTTCTGTCATAGGCCTAACATTTGTACATATTGGAGTGGGGACTCCTAACGGAAATATGTGATTTAGCGCCCCGTGATCCTGCATAAACGGATGAGGTTACTACTTGAATACAACCGGCGTCAGTGTCATCATGAGCGCATCACATATGAGCAAGTTGGCCCCCCACAGACAGTCGTTTAAAAGTTCCCACAACACTAGGAATAAGTCTCGCTACAACACTCGATGACTAAATCTAATTAGGTGTCGCACCAATGTTTCTTCCTAGGTAGACTGTTTTCGGAGGAGGGGTGGGGGAGGGGGAGCTCTGCCGGAAGAGAAAATGTTTGCACCCATCACCCGTGCAGTAATGTAACCGGTAGCTCCAAGAGCCCCGTGACTCCCCTGACACCTGGGTCGTCGCCGAAGGACTTACAGCATGCCTTGGCTTGTCTAGTTGGTAGTGTGGACAAACCCGCGCCCTAAGATCCAAGAAATGAACTGCCGACATTGTTAACATTTAATTCAACTTCTGGAAAACAGGGCACACGGTTGGTAACGTTTTGATGAAAGCCTCATAAAAACCGGCGTCAGTTTGGAGTGTTGTACTAGATTTAGAGAGTCCGTGCTTCTCACATGGAAAACTGAATGGGGCCAGCTCGTGTGTTGGAAAACCTCTGATTTATTCAGGTACCGGATACATTTTTTTTTAAAATTTAGTGCGACCTTTGTTTTCCATATATATATATATATATATATATATATATATATATATATATATATATATATATATATATATATATATATATATATATATATATATATATATATATATATATATATATATATATATATATATAGGGGCCCAAAAAAAATTCTGCAGGGGGGCCTTTTTTTTCTAGTTCCGCCACTGAAAGAAGCTATGATTAGCAAAATCATTAGCAAAAAAAATTATTAGTAAAAACAAAAATAAGTCTTTGAAATAAAAATGATTAGCAAAAACAGTATTTAACATGCAATTAAATTTAATCTATTCAAAACTTTAATCGCTCCGTAATATTAAATATAATGACAAATAAAGTGTGTTTTACGGTATATTCGGTGTAGTCTATTCCGGAACGATGCGACAGGTTGTACACTAACACTAAACACTAGTTGTGTACACCACTGTTTTACTATTTTATACCTTATATTTTTACTGCTAAACTGTTCCGGAATAATAACCGAAGCTAAGATTACCGATGTTCCTTACCATTAAAGATAATTATTGTGTATAGCGACGCGATGAAGCTTATTGCATTTTGTTATGAAAATATTTTTCAGTTCGTATTTTTTTTTAAATTTGGCTTACCCAAACAATATAATATTACATTAGTTTCGTTTATTTATTGAACTTCAAAAGTAAGGATCGTCTTCCGTTCGCGGGTAGTGTCTTTCGGTTTGTCACATTATGGTAAAGATGAGTTTTTGAGAAAAAAGTTTTACCTTCCTGAGGAGTGGAGTGCAGAGGCGTAGCGAGTGGGCGGGGGAGGGGGACATGCCGGGCGCCGACCTTAGGTGGCGCGAAAATGGGTTGGAAAAATAAATTGAAACCTTGAGGGGGGGGGGGTGCAAATAGAAATCTTGAGAAGGGGGTGGGGGTGCAAATCGAAAGTTTGATGGAGGGTGCAAATCGAAAGCATGAAGGGGGGCAAATCGAAAGTTTGTCCCCGGGCGCCGGGAAGGGTTCGCTACTCCTCTGGTGGGGCGCGGGTACTTGAAACTTTAAGGTGTGGGGTGGACTTACATTCCAGTCCGTAGGCCTATGTTATGGACTTTTTTCAGTGGCGCAGTTCACCCCCCCCCCTCCCGAAGATCTTCTTAAAAGAAATTGTCGTGGAAAATGTATATGACCAGTAGTAGTAGTAGTGAATATCTTAATTTGTTTTTCAATGGATTAGCGAATTTTTAAATTGTTCTTTAGATTTTAAGTTTAAATTTAATTCGTTTTTTTTTTTGTAGTACCCTTCGTTTTATTGAGATGGTAAATATAAAAATATTTTGGTATTAGCGATGTTTAATGTTGTGTTGTATTATGTTGAGTACCGCTCATGCAGAGGCGTAGTAATACCCCCCACCATATATTTGTTATGTTTATAATTCAAAACTGTAGATAGAATGAGCTTTTAATTTTTTTCCAACCCATTTTGGCGCCCCTAGGGTTGGCGCCCGGGGACATATGTACCCAACCCCCTTTCGCTACGCCTCTGCGTTAATGCGCTCAAAGTAGTAGTTAATGTAGCTACGTAAATATAATACATAATAAACCGGGAGTGATCTCCCCTAAACTTTCTCTGATATTCTAATATAAAACTACGAGGGATGGCAACTCAGGACACTGACAATATTTGTAATCCATTTTTAATCACTTAAACTTTTTATAATAATATAATGGAATCTCGTAAAAACAAGAACTGCACACTAAGTGAATGCTTAATAAAATGTGCATAATAGTGCGTGATATTATTAGTACTGTATAAATTTACGTGCGTTTTTTTGAGAAATCAGAAATAGCGTAAATTAGTACTTCTGGTCAACGGAAATTACTCAAAATTTGACAGAAGGTAGAGAATTAGATCTTTTACTGACATGTGCAATTTCATTTATCTATCTGAAATAGTACTCAAGTTATAGGCTTTTGAAAACTTCAAAAGTAGAAAAAGTACCACTTCCGGTTATCGGAAATCGCTCAAAAGCTGATATGGATCTACGATTTTGATAAAATACTTATATATGAAATTTCATCAACTTAGCTGTAACGGTACTCAAGTAACTGTGTTTACACACAGACACACAGACACACAGACACACACACACAGACACACAGACACACAGACATACGGACAAGATTGCAAAATTATGTTTTTCTGTATCAGTGAGGTGTAAAACGGGGGTGTTATAAAATCTCGATTTTTTTTTTGCACGATTACAATACTTTCTCTATACTTCGTATATACGAGAAAGTAAAAAGAGTGAAAAACAAAAACTTTTCAAAACCTCAGGAGTTTTTCTTTATTTATCAACATAAGCACAAAATTAAATATATGACAAAAAAAACTCAGGTACATGTAGCATCAATATAGTGACAGCCACAGTTCCCATGATGGTAATCAAAGGTACCAGCTATAAGTCGGTAGCCTTAGCTAACGCATCGACACCAACTAAAACGGTACTACTAAATCTTGATTCTCAGATTCTGACGATTCTTCGTTTCTTCTACAGAAGAAAACATAGTGCTATTATTTTAAATGTAAATGACATTTTTAAAAAAAAAACTGTTTTAATTTTATTTTTTTAAAATATTTTTAACAATTTTAAAAATTTGAATTAACTTATTGTTAAAAAATTATTAGGTGTAGGCTCCCAAAAAAAGGGAGGTGGGAGGAAACGTCTTGAAAAATAACTTTTAAAAAAAATTTATTTGTGAGTAACTGATGCATGCAAATATTTTCATTTACTCAACTTAGATACAGAAAAAAAATAAAGTTTATTAATTAAGAAGTTTTTTTTTTCTGGAGCCTACCCTTTTAAGAAATTATTAATGAGCGGTTGCTTCAACTGTTGCATCAGAGGCGTCGCGAGGCGGGAGACAGGGGTACGCCGGTGAGCTATAAAATCTTAGGGTAAACACCAGATATCACCTGACCTAGTTAGGCCACGGGTCAAATAATCACCTGCGGTATATACACGGGATAAAACAAAGCGGTAGCAAGAAGAGAATCGACAGTAGAAACATCAGATCTTGAGTCTTTGCTACAACTGAAATGTAATCTAACAGGAAACTGAGAAATGACGTACAGCTGAAATGTAATCAAACAGGATACTGAGAAATGACGTACAGCTGAAATGTAATCAAACTTGATACTGAGAAATGACGTACAACTGAAATGTAATCAAACAGAAAACTTAGAAATGACGTAAAGCTGAAATGTAACCAAACAGGATACTGAGAAATGACGTTCAGCTGAAATGTAATCAAACTGGATACTGAGAAATGACGTACAACTGAAGTGTAATCAAACAGTAAACTGAGAAATGACGTACAACTGAAATGTAATCAAACATAAAAATTAGAAATGACGTACAACTGAAATGTAATCAAACAGGATACTGAGAAATGACGTACAACTGAAATGTAATCAAACTTGATACTGAGAAATGACGTACAACTGAAATGTAATCAAACAGAAAACTTAGAAATTACGTAAAGCTGAAATGTAACCAAACAGGATACTGAGAAATGACGTACAGCTGAAATGTAATCAAACTGGATACTGAGAAATGACGTACAACTGAAATGTAATCAAACAGTAAACTGAGAAATGACGTACAACTGAAATGTAATTAAACATAAAACTTAGAAATGACGTACAACTGAAATGTAATCAAACAGGATACTGAGAAATGACGTACAACTGAAATGTAATCAAACATAAATCTTAGAAATGACGTACAACTGAAATTTAATCAAACATAAAACCTAGAAATGACGTACAGCTAAAATGTAATCGAAAAGGATACTGAGAAATGACGTACAGCTGAAATGTAATCAAACTTGATACTGAGAAATAACGTACAACTGAAATGTAATCAAACAGAAAACTTAGAAATGACGTACAACTGAAATGTAATCAAACAGGATACTGATAAATGACGTACAACTGAAATGTAATCAAACAGGATACTTAAAAATAACGCACAACTGAAACAAAAATCTTATAAAATAATAAAATGATTTTTTTAAAAATAATGAAAAGGTTGAAAAAATAAAATGACAGAAAAAAGTTATAAGGTTTTATGTTTTAACAAACTTATTATTTTAAAATAAAACGATACCCCGAATCAAAATGAAGTTCTATAAATTTATCCAATGTAATTAAAATGAAAAATAAAGTTTAAAAAAAAAACAACTTTAAAAATTGTTTACTGTATAGTCTAATGATTAATAATTGGACTTTAAACCTAATGCATCACCCCACACCATTGTATTTTATACCAATACGATACAAAGATCATTTCAAAGAGCTTTCAACAGATTATTAAATCGATAAAGAATAGAGATTCTATTATTTCAATAAATCAACACATTTAAAATAAAATGTTTTGTTCAAGATCATGCACTTTATAATTTGCATTAGGGACAGCGTGGCCTAGCGGTAAAGTGTTCGACCTCTATACCGAAAGACTCGAGTTCGGAAAATAATGCCATACCAAACGTTACAAACAGTTAAGGTAAACATTACCTGGACAGGTGCCATGGACGCGATCTAGACAGTCGTGGTTGCTGCATTTTACACTGCATAACCCTGTACAGTGGAATCCGTACGGCATTTTGTCTTTGGTTTATATAACATCCTGGATGGGATAGGGGATATACATATTTGTATATAGATATACATATATATATATATATATATATATATATATATATATATATATATATATATATATATATTCATATATATATATATATATATATATATATATATATATATATATATATATATATATATATATATATATATATATATACTAAGTATATATATATATCAAAAAGTCCTACTCAATCAAGAATAAATACATTTCAGCATTTTACATAAACGATACATCTTTTATTTTTTAGTTATAGTTACCTGTAGTACAAGCATGTACTGGATTCTTCCATCCTAACTTACACCTGTCACAGGAGCCGTTAAACTTGTTACAATCATTCTCACAGTTGGAGCAGTCACCGACACAGTGCATGAGGTAACTACCTATTCCACAATCTGTGTGACAATACATTCTCCAATCAATAAATTACATAATTTATCACTAAAACACAATCTCTAATTGGTCGAAAAAAAGGTAACCTTTTGAACGAAACGTTTCATGGAGCAGGTGAAATAGAGTTGACCTGTTTCACTATTTTTTTGGACATATAGTTGTGGACAGCGCTATGGCCAGTCGCATGAAGCAGGTATCTATCAGATATGGGTGGATTCAAGTACGACTTATGGATTCGATACGGTGATCATATTTCTAAACTTTCGGGTTAGTAGTTGAACGCTGTACCATGCCACGACACCAATCTCTGTAAGGTATCTAACATACAACAATATGTCTAGTCCTAGCCACTGTAACCAAAAGTTCTAGTCACCAACATGACAACAACACAAAGACACCAAGACAAAGACACCAACATGAAGACACCCACACGAAGACACAAAAACAAAGACACCAACACAAAGACACCAAAACAAAGACACCAACACAAAGTCACCAAAGACACCAGCACAAAGACACCAAGACAAAGACACCAAGACAAAGACACCAACACAAAGACACCAACACAAAGAGACCA